CAAATACTTATTCCACTACCTACTGGTGGTAGGAGATTGGGAAAACGGCTTGAGTACTCACTTCCTCACTTTCCCTAGCTGTTAAATGGAGATATTCTGGTACCTACCCGATAGGGTTATTGTGAAGACTAATTGAATTAATTAATAATTATACATTACTTGGAACAGGATGCTGCATATAGTAAATGCTCAAAATAAAAATGAGTTAACTATTACTTACTGAGAGACATCAGGAAGTTGATGCAGACAACTGGCCACTAAGAAATAAAGCTTAAACCAGACAGCCAGCTGAACAATCGCCAAGGGAAATAATGTCATAAGTTCTGTCGGGCAGGCAGTATCATGAGATGAGACCAGGCAATAGAAAACGCCAATGTCAAGCGCACTCCCCTCAGGGAAAAAGGAAGAAGGGAAAAGAGATGGTGACATTATAACAGGTTGAAGTTGACAAGGGCTGAAGAGTTTCCTTATCGCTGTGTGAATGGAGTTGGTTGCTTAGACCCGTTTTAAGTGTCAGCTGGTGTGCGTAGCAGGGAATTGACTGTAAGATGTGGATGTGACTTACAGGCCTGAGGGCAGTGGGCAGCTGGGCCTCAGGAGAGACTGAGGCAGGGCGCTGGGAGGCTGCTGGGATTCGTGGGGCGCTCTCTCCTGTCTTCCCTGCTTCTCTTTCTATTTCTTTTTCAGGGTTCTCACTCTGTAGGTGACCTCCGCTTGTCCTTAGTTGATTGGATGGGTGGAAGTCGGCCCCAGCAGCTCTCAGTCCGTGTGCTATTGCTGTGCCATATGGTGATGCTCACGTTTTTTGCCCTCACCCACAGGCCCTCATCATTGGCAGAGGAGATGGGAGTTACGTGGTATCAACAGGGCATGAGGAAGTGTTATGAGTCATGTATGAGTCATGTAATAGCAGCACCACAGCAGAGAGCCTATCACACTTCTCGGAGTGCCTCCAAGGAGCACTGTTCACATGGCTCACGATTGTAGCCTCAACAGTAACACCCACCCTTTATTTTATTATTTTATTTATTTGGTAGAGATGAGGTCTCACTATGTTGCCGAGCCTGGTCTTGAACTCTGGGCCTCAAGTGATCATTCCACCTCAGCCTCCCAAAGTGCTGAGATTACAGGTGCGAGCCACTGTGCTTGGCCCTTTCCTCCTTATTTGGAGCCAGTAGGTGTTTAAATGAGTATTTCATAACAAATAAATTTCTTAAAGATACCGCTTCCACTTTGGAGGTAACACCACTTAATTAAGCAGGTCAGTTCTGTGGAAGACAAACTTGCCAACGTGTCTTTTGCATTTCTTCACTTTCCTAAAAGTACATTAAAGAAAAATAAAGCTGCAGATGTGTCTTTCAGATGAAGAAGTTATCTGATCTCTAATGGGAGGTTCCGGAGAGGGTATCCACCTGCCTGTGACCGAGGCAAAGTGAACCGAGGCACTCACTCCTTGTCACATGCCTTCTGGTGTCTTAGATTTTGTGATGTCTTCTTCATCCAACTGATATGACAGGTTTCTCAGCTTATGGTCACATAGAGACTTCAGTTTTTGAGTGAGTGAGGTTTCTGGTGGAATGGCTCCATAATTTGTGATCACATGGCAACAGTGGGATTATTTTTCTGGCTAGTTGCTCCTTCTATAAACAGACAAAATAATATATGGTCTTGTCCACCTCATTTTTACTTGAGTATGTTCTAAAAGGAAAAAGTAAGAAACTTCAAAAAACATATTTTCATCGCCTCCCCTTCTGATGAGGATTACATGGTATAGCCAGGTGGTCGGCTTCAGTATTACATTATGATAACATCTGCATTTCTCTTTCATATTCAGCATGCATCTCTTACTGAATGTGCTAGAAATATGAGAGCTGCAACTATAAAGTTTTAATGCTCAATTGAGAACGTAATTTTCTTTCTAGGATCGTAGAAAAATACGACAGCCCTTAAAAATCACCAATAGATGCATAAAGATTTAGAAATCTGTGTTTTGATGATGTAGGAATCAGCAGTGAAGTGATGGCATGACTGACACTCATGGTCACGTCTTGTTGACACCCCTTTGTGTTGCTTTACCCATCATGCCAATGATTAGCATGGTGACTGGTGAGTAATCGGTACTTACCGTGTTTGCTGATTAATTATTATTATTATTTTTGTTTTTGAAATGGAGTTTTGCTCTTATCGCCCAGGCTGGAGTGCAATGGCATGATCTAGGCTCACTGCAACCTCTGCCTCCCGTGTTCAAGTGATTTTCTGGTCTCCACCTCCTGAAGCAGCTGGGATTAAAGGCGCCCACCACCACACACAGCTTATTGTATTTTTAGTAGAGACAGGGTTTTGCCACGTTGGCCAGGCTTGTCTCCAACCTCAGGTGATCCACCTGTCTTGGCCTCCCAAAGTGCTGGGATTATAGGTATGAGCCAACATGCCTGGCCTTATTGATGATTAACCAGCTTCTGTCACTACCTATCAGTATATTACCTTTAAGTCTCCATCTTTTTATTTCTCTGCACTGGTTTTCCATTGAGATTTCACCCAAAAGATAAAGGAGAGATGAGGTCTGGGGTTAAAGCAACAAAAGTAGAAAGAAGGTGAAGCTAGAAGGAAAGATCAACTTTCTACCCAGCCGGGGAGACTGTGCCTGTCTCTGGGTTTCCATTTCTACACCTTAAGGATTTAGTAACAGATAACCATAGAGGATTGTTCTAAATTTCCCTTTCAGTTTCAACATTTCTGCCAGTGATGAGGCCAGAGTATATGAGATATGGTTCTGCTCATGATCAGGTATTCTGAGGACACATTTTACCTTCCTTCTTGGCTCCTTTTATGTCTGGAAAGCTGTTTTTCTTTCTCTTTTTGTCTCCTGTTTTGGCTTGTATTATCTGGTTGGATTTTGTGTGCCCTTTTAGGTTATCATAAATCCTTCCTGGACAAAGCAAGGAATGCATTTAAAATATGTGGTATCATGGTGTCTTGATAGATCCCCTAATATCTTTGAGCTGAAACATGGCCTCATTTATTGTATTTCTGAACCAGAATTTATTGTGTAGCCACATGTTATTGCTGCTATGGATATTTCTACCCCTGAAAGACAGATTTATAGTTATAAGAATGTTCTCCCCAAAGTCTCTTTTAGGAGAAAGAGCTTTGCTTCATTAAGATTATTTCTTCTTTGAAGTGTACGGTTTAAAAATTCCTGCTATAAAAATATAATTAAAATAAAAAAAATCTATTTAGGCACAATGTTACCTATTCCCTTGTTTATTTTCTAAGTTTTAAAAGCTTTTACATGAAAAGCGGTTGCCTGAATAATTAAAATGCAGTGAACTCTTGGGCTTGAACACATTTGATGGCCTGAACTGCCTTTTGAATATTTTTTCCCCCCGAGCCTTTTAAATGTAAACTACAAGTAACAGTGACCCCGAGCAGTGTAATTGAGAGGTCTAACACTCTTACTGCTTGTCAGAAAGTCCTGGTAGCTTAGTTCAGAAAAAACACACTTTCTGGAAGAAGTTAATTGGAGAGTTAGCCGTTTATCAGAAGTGAAAATAAACTGTCATTCACAGCTCACTGGTGTTGGCTCTGAGCTTGTTCCCAGACTCTATTTCCACAGGATGGAAAAGTCTTGCATTGTCCAAAGCTTTGCCCTGGACAGCTGCTGACAGAGCAGGCAGAACTAAGGCATCAAGACCAATCCTATTTCAACGCAATGTTTAAAATCAATCAATGCAAAAAAAAGTCCATGATCTTCAAAATACAACATTTTAAATAAAGACAGGGTAACTCTTATGCTAAAGCATCTTATTCAGAGCCCTTTTATTGGAGAAGGGATCTGTATTAGAAGCAATTTTTTTCTTAGTGAAGAGGCAAAAATGTACTAGTTGGAGAATGTGCAAGGATACCCTTTTGCATATTAGTTTTTTTTCCAGCTATTTTCTTATCCGTTTCTCTAAGGTTAAGTAGGCAGCTAACTCTGTACTTGGTTGCCTGAGGGAAGTTATTTGGTATAGTGAAAATCAGAAATGTAAGATCCTGTGCCTTTTGTTTTCCCAAACCATAACTCTTGACGTGAATATGGAAGTCTTTCAAAGGAAGTAAAAATGTTGGAGAGAGTTCCATGGTATAGACAAAGTGGCTTAGGCAAAAATATGAAGGGGGAAGGATTTTCCTGGACTTGAAAGATTCTTTTAGGACAGAAGCCTGCAGAGGGATAGGAAAAAAAAAACTCCCTACATGACTGAGGTCAATGTCTTTTGCCTGTCTGGTAGGAGTGAGGGCTCAAATAGAAATTGATTGCATTTATTGTAATATAACTGTGTGATATTTCTCAAACACTTTAGTTTGTGAACTAAGGATCATACTTAGGGCTGTCAAATTGTATTTTACCAATATAGAGTTTAACATAATTGTCTCTATTCTTTTTTTCTTTTTTTGAGACTGAGTTTCGCTCTTGTTACCCAGGCTGGAGTGCAATGGTGTGGTCTCGGCTCACCGCAACCTCCGCCTCCTGAGTTCAGGCAATTCTCCTGCCTCAGCCTCCTGAGTAGCTGGGATTACAGGCATGCGCCACCATGCCCACTAATGTTTTGTAGTTTTAGTAGAGACGGGGCTTCACCATGTTGACCAGGATGATCTCGATCTCTTGACCTTGTGATCCACCCGCCTCGGCCTCCCAAAGTGCTGGGATTACAGGCGTGAGCCACTGCGCCCAAAATACATGATGTATGAGAGCAGGGACTTTGTAAATCTATGCACCATTGTTTCCTCTGGCATAGATTATATGCTGAATTAATGATATGGTAGATAAATGAATTTTAGTGCACGAGATGGTTGTTTAAACAACTCAAGAGTTGTTTAAACTCTTCTGCATAGAAAAGCAAGTGTCCGTGTATATTTTAAAGAATAGTGTATAATACTTATATATTTCTGTGTATGTATGTATACCATAATAACAGTAATAATCATGTTTGATATAACTCATTCAATGAACAAGTCCTTTGAAAGTTATGAAGTGCGCTACATGAGTAAGGTATTTACCATGTTAATATTAATACAATATATTCTTAGACTGGCGCCAAAGTTTATCAGCAATGTATCCTGCAGTAAGCTTGCTGCATTTGGAGAAAACTGGGCTCTAGAAGTGGATGCATCTTTGGAAACTCTGTGACAATTATGTGAAAGTGCAGGTAATTTTGATGTCTTTGAAAAATAGGTGATAGTGGTGTGAAGTAAGGGGTAAATTGAGCTAGAAAATAATGAATGGGATTGGAGGACTCTGTTTTGTCTAGAGTCAAGCTGAGCTAAACACCCTGGCACATGACCTGAGTTCTGAAAGACGTTGGCAGATGCAAAAATAAGGCATATTGTTTGTGATTGTTTTCATGCTGTCCCAGTTGTCCTGCTGAATCACTGCCACTATTTTCCGAGCTTCAAGTTAAGGCTGAGACCCTCAGAAGTCTCATCAGTCAATGTCTTCCATGGTCCACAGATACATGAGAGGTTTGGAGCACATAGTCACTGGCTGCATTTTAACGCAGCAACTTAATGGAGCCTGAAATTTTAAGTTATCGTGGATGGAGATCAGATGGTCTACCTACCTTGTGGGAATCTGGAGACGGTTAATGAGATGAGTTCTTTGGAAGAATCGTTGCTATATAAATACGAATCAGAGCAAATACAATAATTCTGCCCCCAAAATTGCCTTAGGGGTAGAACAGTGTTCAATAAACATAGTATAATACCGTGACTGGGTTTATAGCTCTTTCCCAAACCTGTTGTGTTAAACCCACCTTCATGATTTTTGCTATGAACTTAGGTACTATGTGTATTATTCTTAGCAGATAGTTTTAAAATGAATTCAAGTTATTTTTAATGTTTTTTATCATGGAAAATTTAAAAATATATATAAAAGTAGAAAAATTAGCATACCAAGCCCTCATATATTCAGAGCAAGCTTCAACAATCAATAACTTGAGGTCAATCCTCAATAACTTGAGGTCAATCAATCCTTGAGGTCAATCTCTCCCCATACCCTCTTTCCTCTGCATTTTTTGAAGTAAATCTCAGACATCCTATTACTTCACCCATCAACAATTTAAAGTATGTTTCCAAAAAAGAGGGCTCTCTAAAAGTTCATAACTATACAGAGGAAACCAGCAGTACTTGTTTTCTGGTCACAACACTGCGGACCTAAACAGGATATGGTCCAGACAGGATAAAGCAAAGAAACCCATGGGAAACAGCAAATGGCTGTTTCACAAAACAAAAGTGATCCCCAGCTGCTTTCATTGCTCATTGACATTAGGCACTCCCGCCAGGCCATGACAGTTTACAAACGTTATGGCAACAACCTGGAAGTTACCACCCTTTCCATGACAATAACCTAGAAGTTATTGCCTCTTTCCTAGAAAAATCTTAATAACCTACTCAGCCATTTGCATTTACCCACCCCCTAATTTGCATGTAACTGAAAGTGAGTCTGACCCTCCTTTTCTTGGCGGGGACCGGGTTTGTGGTCTCGCTCCCCGTAATGTACGGAGGAAGAGGGAAAGGGCTCTGGTCCCCTCGGCGTCATGTCTTCGGTGCCGGTGGCTTCCCATCCGCTGGTTCTATCCTCAAGGGCCGAGACACCCGGCATCTCGGAGCAGGGCAACCGAGATCCAGCTGTTTCCTTCACGGGGGTGCTCACACTTTCTCATTTGATTTCAGGTCTGCGGACGCTGTATCCCCTTTTCCACATCCCGCTGCAGCCAATAAAGGCCGTTCCTACCATAGTCGGTCTGTGTCCGCGTTCCTTTTTCCGAGACTGCAGAGTTCGGGGAAGCTGTACGAGTTCTTCTGCTACGCGGAATTTGCAGATCTTTCCCTGGATCTCAGGCCTCCGGCTAGAGTAGGGTGGACACTTCACACAGGTCCTCTGGTCGACCTTACCCGGACTTACAGATGGCCGCGCTGCGTCGAATGCTCCACCTGCCGAGTCTGGTGGCAGGGGTGTGCCTCCCTTTTGCGGGTAGGGAGGTGGGGGCAGAGTGGGGAGGGCAATGTGGGTTCATCGTGACCCGAGAGCCTAGTCCCTGAAATTGTGGCTCTCAGACCCCATCGTGGGCCGGGTGCGGTGGCTCATGCTTGTAATCCTAACGTTTTTAGAGGCCCAGGCGGGCAGATCGCTTGAGTCCAGGAGTAAAAGATCAGCCTAGGGCCACATGGTGAAACACTGTCTACAAATAAATACAAAAATTAACAGGGCATGGTGGCGCCTGTAGTCCTAGCTTACTCAGGAGGCCCCGGGTGGGAGGATCACCCGAGCCTGGGAAGTCGAGGCTGCAGTTAGCCATGATTGAGTCACTTCACTCCAGCCTGGGTCACAGTAAGAATTGCCCCTCCCTCCCCCAAAAAAAGACCTCAGTGTCCCAGTGTGTATATGCATCGTTTTTGCAGTGGCGAGATAGATGGAGTGACATGTACCCTCCAACCGTGTCCACAGGCTCACTGGCTGGTAGCTCCCTGGCGGACCGCTGTCTCTGGGATCGGCTCCACTCCCAGTCCTGTTTGGGCAGTGTCCCCACCTTCGACTGGTTCTTTGGATACGAAGAAGTCCAGGGGCTCCTACTGCCATTGCTGCAGGAGGCACGTGCTGCCTGTCCTCTGCGGGTCCTGGATGTGGGCTGTGGGACCTCCAGCCTATGTACTGGCCTCTACACCAAATCCCCACACCCAGTGGATGTGCTTGGGGTGGACTTTTCTTTTGTGGCTGTGGCCCACATGAACAGCCTCCTGGAGGGTGGCCAAGGCCAAATGCCTCTACGCCCTGGGCACCCTGCTTCCTGCCTCCGCTTCATGCAGGCTGATGCCCAGAACCTGGAGGCTGTGGCTTCTTCAGGTTCTTTCCAACTACTGCTGGACAAGGGCACCTGGGATGCTGTTGCCCGAGGGGGTCTGCCTAGGGCTTACCAGCTGCTGTCAGAATGCTTGAGGGTTCTAAGCCCTCAGGGGACCCTGATTCAGTTCTCAGATGAGGACCCTGATGTGCGACTGCCCTGCCTGGAACAAGGGTCCTGTGGCTGGACTGTGACTGTGCAGGAGCTAGGCCCATTCAGGGGCATCACCTACTTTGCTTACTTGATTCAAGGCTCATTAAAGACATGTTAGTAGTCCTGACCCTAATATTTCTGTGGGCAAGGAGAGGGCTGAAGAGTGAGCTATGTCTTTCCAAGGTATCTGGCTGGCTGCAAAGTGAGAATTTGAGTCCTGGCTTCCACGTTTACTAGCTGGGTGCACTACTACTGAATGTTTCTGTGCCCCAGTTTACTCATCTGCAGAGTGGGAATAACCTAGAGTTGAAATATTTAGCACGAGGTGAGTGCTGAAAAGAGAAGTTTCAAGTGGGTCATTCCCCACTTCCTAAACTGGAGCTCCTAAAAGCAGCGAACAGAAACTGAATCCAACCCTCTGCCCCACCGACTGGCTTGTAAATTTTTCTCACCTGTAAAAGGAGATTGTGAGAGGATGGGTATAAGGAGCTTCATAAACCTGGATGAGATGTTTGAAGGGGAGGGAGCAATACTTACCCTCAAAGCTACTGGGAGGCAGGAGATGGGAATATTCCACAAAGCTGCTTCTGCAAACACCGGACCCTGTTCCTGAGTCCCAGAAAGGACAGTGGTTGGTGGCTCCCTGACACTCTGTGTCCTCAGGAATCCAACAAGCATCTTCCTCATCCTGGTCCTGCCCCCAGCTGAGTCCAGCGTTAAATGTTCTTAAAGGAGATCTAGCATCCTGTGGGCTCCAAGCCCAGCCTGGAATGGAGAAGAGAGGGGAGCTACAGTGAAAAATATTACTGATATGAAATTACAAAACGAGGCCAGGCATGGTGGCTCATGACTGTAATCACAGCACTTTGGGAAGCCAGCCTTGGCAGATTGCTTGAGTCCAGGAGTTTCAGCCCTGGCAATAAAGTGACAGCCCTAACTCTACAAAACAGCCAGGCATAGTGGCACAGTAGTCCCAACTATTCAGGAGGCTAAATTGGGATGACAGCCTGAGCACTGGGAGATTGAAGCTGCAGTGGGGCGTGATATGCTGCTGTACTCCAGCCAAAAATTACTTTCTGTGGCAGTTTTTGCTCATGAAAAAATACAGCAATTATATGACTTAACAGCCTAACTTGGCAGCCTCAATTTTCTCATTTATAAAGGGGAAATACCTTCATTGGGTTGTTCTGAAAATCAGAACAAGTCAGTGTTTAGCATAGTACCTAGCACAAAGTAAATGCTCAAAGAAATGTAGCTTTTTTTTTTTTTTTTGAGACGGAGTTTCGCTCTTGTCATCCAGGCTAGAGTGCAATGGTACAGTCTTGGCTCACCACTACCTCCGCCTCCTGGGTTCAAGCAATTCTGCCTCAGCCTCCTGAGTAGCTGGGACTACAGGCATGCGCCATCATGCCCAGGTAATTTTTGTATTTTTAGTAGATACAGGGTTTCACCTTGTTGACCAGGTTGGTCTTGATCTCGTGACCTCATGATCCACCCGCCTCAGCCTTCCAAAGTGCTGGGATTTATAATCCACCCTGCCCAGCCAAAATGTAGCCTCTATAACAGTACACAGACATGAAAAAAAGTCTAGACGAGAAGGCATCGAAAATGTAAACTATTTTTAGGTAGTTGGACTTAAGGTAACTATCTTTTTCTGCAGGTCTCTAAAGTTCACCAACTTTGCCAACTGCCTTGACTTTTCTCTCCCAGATCTTCACATTTATTGAGCACCTGCTATGTTCCTGGCACTGCTGAATGCAGAGGTCATAACTGACATCCGTCTTGGCTCTGCCCAGAACATTCAGAATGCAGTGGCCTCCTGAATGAACTACCTCACTCACCTGCCTCTTCAATTTGGTCTTGGAAAAAGGCCTCCGCCTCCTCTTCCTCACCATCAGTGAGCAGCAGCAGCTCCTCATGGGGCCAGTGGAGATCCCCACTCTCTTCATTCACCTCAGAGGCTCCCACCACAATAGATGGCAGATGGGACTTTTGAGAGAAAACCTGAATAGGGACAGCAGGGAGGTTGGCCCAAATTGGAGGGTAAGCCAGCTGTCAGACACAAGGTGGGGAAGTACTAACCTGAATATCCTGGTGACCTTCAGCCTTGCCAATCTCTCCTCTGTCCCCGAGACGGTTGGGCAGCCTGGGACTTTCTGGATGCTGAGAGGAGCCTAGGCTATTTCTATTCCAAAGCCCATCCTCCTCGCTGCTCCCTGGCACAAGGGCCATGGTGGTGATTCTTAGGAGTGCAAGATGATTGAACTCAGAGGAGAATACTCCTTGCCCAGTGCACCCCACAAACTGTTCCTCTAATCTTCTTTGGAGCCTGGCTCCTTAGTCACTGACGTGCTAGGCGATTATGGGCTTCCTGGGGAGGGGAAAATGCCTAAGAAGTGAGATAGGATCTTTATTTCTACTTACTCCATGGAGACACTGGGATGGCAGCAAGGGTAGGAGACAAGGGCACCTGGATTAAAGCCCTATGAGCCGAGAGTTTTGATAACAACTTGGAATTTCCTGACTCCTTTGCTTACTGATTTTCCCAAGCTGGCATGTTTATATGTTATTTAATGAATATTTTCATGGTGTTTACACTTTGTCAGGAGCTGTTTTGTTTGCTTTACATGTAACTCATTTAATTATCCTAAAACTATGAGACAGGTACTGTTAATAAGCTTCATTTCTGATGCAGAAACCGGGGCACAAGAAATTCCTTAGGATCACAGCTAAGAAGTGTTTTCTTTTTCTTTTTTTTCTTTTTTTTTTTTTTTTTTT